AGGGTGAGATTTTAGCTCTGAGCTCTGACCTCTCGGCTTTCTCTTTTACATTGTTTCTGTGTTTCTTATTTAATAAGACGGTTGGTTACATCTACAGACTGTAGACTTTGCCTGGCATGGTGGTGCATGCCTCTAATCCCAGCACTCGGGAGGCAGAGCCAGGCAAATCTCTGTGAGTTCGAGGCCAGCCTGGTCAACAGAGTGAGTTCCAGGAAAGGTGCAAAGCTACACAGAGAAATCCTGTCTTGAAAAAAAAAAAAAAAAAGACTGCAGACTTTGATTACTAAAACAAGAAAGATGATGTTATCCTTTTTAGCTTTAGATTGGAAAAAGAAAAACCCCAACAGAAAGAGAGAGAGAAGGAAAGAGCAAGCGCTTGAGATTAATTTAACAGATGTATATGTAAACACTTATACCTCTATGTAATTTTAAGTAAACATAAAAATAACATGATTCCACAAGGCCTTTAAAAGCCCCTGTGCCAGGCACAGGAACCCTCCTTTCAAGGGTTGGTCAAGGGGTCCAAAAGACTCTTGAAATAACATATGCCACTGCTGTTGTCCTAAGTTGCCTCCCAAAACTGAAGCTCAATCCCTATTGCTGAAGACACCACATACTTCGGACACAGGACTTGGAGGAAGAGAGCTGTGGATCTGACCTGGAAGCCTTCTTCCTGAGAACTAGCTTGCATAGTACTAGAAGGTGCTAGGGATAAAAGCAAAATTGATACTCCAACCCAACTGTAATGCCTATGAACCACAACATTGGCCAGAACTGCAAGATAACCCCAAAGGTGTGAAAGTGGTACTCATAACTTGGGGTTAACCAACGGCCATCTAATTGAACTTAAAACCCACTCAATAGAAAGTAATTTATTCTTGACACTATAAATCCAGCCAACTATTGGTGGCTGGTGAGGCCATAGACCCTAGAGGAGAGCCTACTACTGCTATATTCCTAAACCAGTATATTTTCTAACTGCATTCTAAATATTTCTCCTTCTACCCACATATAAGTGCAGCTCTCATCTCTCATCATAGAAGCTTCTTTTTGCAGCAGACAGAGACCATTGCAGAAATTCACAATTGGTCAAAAGGCAGAGAACAACTGACTTGGGGAGGTGGGGTCCAGCCTCAAAAGATACATCTACAGCACAAGCCCCAAACCTAAGGCTCAAGAAACATGGCAGAAGAGGGAACAGAAAGACTGTAAAGGTCAAAGGACCAAGATGTCTGCCGCATGATAGTGTCTTCTATATTGTGATAAGGAAGCTGCACAATAAAATCTCAACAATGCAGTTACATAAATAAAACCTGCACAATGATGACCTCAGTTGACATGCCAAAGTGGATGAGGGAAATCTCACAAGACCCCACCCCTAGATGAAGAGCTAAAGGCAATTAATGACTTCTGAGAGAAGGAGAATCAGTCTTCCTCTCTGATGAACCTCCTAATAGGTTACGCAACATGCTAAACACATACACACATATAAGCAACACCAAACTGACTCAACAGATGTATTTATATATTTATATGTACATAAATGTGAGTATATTCATGCACATATATACACATAAACATATGATTATGAATTTGATGAGTAGTGAGGAGACTCAGGAGAAGCTGGATGAGAAGGAGGGGAAATAATTTAAATACAATACTCATATGAAATTCTAAAAAAAAAATTTAAGAATTTAAGATTCATAAAGCATCTTCAAATCTCCTCGCTCCTGACTTTGGAACATAGTAAGCTCTAGATCAGTGGTTCTTAACTTGTGGGTCGATATCCCCATGGGGGTCACATATCAGATAGCCTGCATATCAGATATTCACATTATAATTCATAACAGTAGCAAAATTACAGCTATGAAGTAACAACAAAATAACTTTATGGTTGGGGTCACCACAATCTGAGGAACTGTGTTAAAGGGTCGCAACATTAGGAAGGCTGAGAACACTGCTTTAGACCATGCACATGAATCGCCGACACCTTAAGCCTTCTCATCTCACTGCCAGAAATCCCCACTGTAAGTGGTATGGTGCCCAGTGAACCACCCCAACCCCCAGCCATCTACTTCAAAGCCTAATGGGTGCCAAAGTCTTCTCAATAAGCCAGATTGCTCTGCAAAATCACTTCAATGCAAGAAACAGCTAAGGAAAAACAAGCTTTGAGAGGTCAGAGGACTAGAGAAAAATGTCTCATCAACAAACATGTACTCTTCTTTACTCTTCCAGGTCATACTTATGTGTTCCTTTCCAGAGAATAAAAGAGAAGTTAAATGTTGGCTTTGCTTATAGGAGCTGACAGCAAAAGTGTCTGGAGAGTCACTTTTTTTGTAATAGAGACACTCTATACTGATAAGATTTAACATTCAAATAACTGAGTACTATAAAATTCTAGTTAGTTAAAACTGTCACTCCAAAATCACCAACCCCACATCAAGGGAAAGGAGAGAGAGAAAGAGAGGGAGATTTTAGCCACTCAGCATGTTTTATAGTTCCTAGTTGCAAACAAATTTTAGATATTTTAAAACAGATATTCTGTTCAATTTCCACTCTCATGATGGCTGGCAGCTGTGGCCTACATTCTGCCAAACCTGACCCCACCCCACACTAGTCCCTATGGAACAGCTACCATGTTAGTCACAAAGAATTACAGCAGTTTGACCTTGTGATGAGATTCTAAGAGAAACAGATGACTAGTAAACAGAATGTGAACAACTCAAGTGTGACCCATCACCATTAATTGTTGCCTTCTGCAATGTATTTAAAGCACCATGATCTTATGAACCTCCCTCCAATGAAGAGAGCTGTTCAGAGGTCACCTTAACCCATTCTCATGTATCAAAACATCAGCAATGAAATGCCTCCTCAACAAGCAGCTATAATAATACTTTGGTGGCTCAGAAATTAAAGATTGGTCATACTGTGGTATTCCTGTCTCAAAGAACCAAGAAAAGAGGGAATGAGTAGAACCTGAGACTACCACTGGCTATTCCATCACTCTTCAGTCTTTGATTCACTCAGAAGACTATATCTACAGCTAAGTCTATTATTTTAAAGATACTTGACTTAGAAACTGCTCAATATTATCCACACAACTCAGCTCTTCACTTGGGTGCTAGAAGACTTGCCTTATCCATTAAAAAGAAGATCAGAAAGAATATCTAAATGAGGAGGGAAAAGGGAGATGAGGACAGAGGCAGTAACTGAATGATGAACATCCATTTAAAAAAAGGAATGTGGAAAAATCTAACTCAAAAAAGACAATGAGGACGGACAATCTAAGAATGTCATAATGGTCGGAGTATCCTCTGTTGGTGGAACAGATCCTTTTGGACCAGAAATAAATTCCACAGCTGGATAAAGGTGTCTCCCATGACAAGGCACATACAAATTACAGAGCTTCTTAGACCAATATAATCCAGGACAAAAACAACAACAAAAAGCTGATCCATTTTTCTTCTTTATCTCAACTCAAATAGAATAAAAAGATATTGTAATACTATCATTTATCTTAGTTTTCTTACAAGGTATTTGGTTTTATTTTCACTTTGTATTTTATTTTTGCCAAGAATTTCAAGATACTGGCAGGTAGACATATGTGACTCATTCCATACATTTGGGATCTGCCATAAGAAGACAAAAATATGCTTTCTATAGAAATTATAATGACTCCAAGTCAGGTTCCCTCAAAACAAAATATGCTTTTATACCTGATGATAAAGTCTTAGCCCACTAGCTTAGGTGGATGTTTTCACATGGCAAATAACACTAAGTAATCATTTTTAGAGTAAGAATAAACCTAACTAATTTAATCAAATCTCCTTTTTTTTCTCTCCAAAGGCCTTAGAATTCTGAAGTTATGATAAACAGGTGATATTTAATCAACTCTTCATATTACAAATAAGGAAATCTTTCTATTTCCTATGGTCAGGTCAGAGACTCTTTTCATACCCTCTTCTAACTTACATTCGAGCCCCAACATCCCATTCTCTAGTCTACTTGTAGGATTTTGGAGTTCTTAGAAGTTTGTTCTTGATATGGACATGAACTACACTTAGCCAGAAATCCACACTACTGAAATCTACTACTGTCCTTGTCAATTTCTTTCTACAACACCTCTGAAAACCAAAACTGACCAAAAGAGCCCCAAAACAAGAATGCAGTATTAATTCCAATATCCAAAACTACTTATATTCACCTACAAGTGGGCTTTGATGAACAGCTTTTACAGCCAATCTTCCAAAGAGGTAAATTTGGTAGCTTTTATTTTTCTGAAAGAATGTAACTACGCCATTAGATTCTAGATAAAAGAACAAATGAGGCATAAGAAAAAAAAAAAAAACAGTCCTAATACTTCATATCTCTGAATCTTTCTAAATAGAACATGATAGGAAAACACTTTCAAGTATGAAAACAACTGAGAACCTCTGAAACATCACTACACATTTTGCTTCTGCTTCCCAGCTTTCTTTAACAAACCAAACTGAGGCATACAGACACAACACTTGCAAAGCAAAGAATATGAATTTAATTTGTAGCAACCTCACCATGCTCCTCAGCCTTTCTCATCTGACAAGGAATTCTAGAGCCAAAGGAGTGAGCCCCTGAAATTGGCCCAAGCACCTAGATGGCACTCCTGCACTTCATGCAAGTCAAGGGACAGTGTTGCTAATAAAAACAACAACCCTGAGTACAGTGCCCCGACCTATAGGATACGATAGGCATAGATGCGGGCGCACGTGCAAGAACCTTCTGGACTGTAAGAACCAAGAGGAGACAAGGACTCAGGCTTGAGAAAGAAAGGGGGCAGGATGCAGGTGAACACTCTGTATTTCAGTCAGCCTGAAGCTCTGAGGAATATGAATTCTACACACAAACAAACATGGCTACATAGAGGCATATTTGTCATAAAATATACTTTTAAGATTATTTTTATTTATGTACATGTGAAGGTGCATATGCATGTGCATGTAGGTATTCACCAAGGCCAGGAAAAGGAGTCAGATCCCTTGGAGCTAGAGTTACAGGGGTTTGTGGGGTAACTGGCATGGGTGCTGGGATCCAAACGTCTGTCCTCTGGAAGAGCAGCAAGTGCTCTTACTTATGAGCAATCTCTTTGGCCCATGAAATACATTTTTGCTTAATGGATTATTAGTTTGATTTATAGATTTATATTTATTATTTTTAAATTAAGTATAGGGTGTGGTACTACTATGTGCACCTAACCATAGTGTTCACAAAGCCTAAGATTCCCTGGCACTAGAATTACAGGTGGTTGTGATGTGGTCACCAGGAACTGAACTCAGGGTCCTCTGCAAGAGGACCACAGGCTCTTTACTCCTGAGCCATCTCTCCAGCCCCTGATTCAAAACTTTTTATATATTTGAAACATGTGTCTCTTCTGTCCCTTAGAGGGGTTCTGTCCCTTCAAGAAGATTTAAACTTAGAGGAACTCAAGACTGGGCACTTACAAAAAATAAAAGCTAGCAATAAATTTTTCAAAATGCTACAGTCCTCCTTATCATTCCAGCCAGTGAGGGTGAACATCCATACACAGAGTAGACGAGAGGTTTCAACTCTGCTCAGTTCATAGATACCTTATGGAATGAATTCCTTACTCCATTAAGTGAGCTTTTCATGCTTAAAAATCACTGTTTTTCATACACCAGGAATGCTGATTTAATCAAACTCCTCCAATGGAATGCCACAACAACAATAAAAGTCACCCTTTCTAATGTGAGAAACGTTGCTTCTACAGAACCTATTGAGAGATGGCTAGTCTTGACTCTTAACATAGCACCTTCTTGTACATGCTCATTTTATGAGCAAACTCTAGAATTTAGTACCCATGTAACCACATTCTACTTCACAACAGAACTGTGCCCGAGATGAACTACCACCTCAAGGTTGTCACTTTCAAAGTACAAGTCAGAATATAAGTATGTTTGTCCAAGGAAGAGACTATGACTCAGAGAAAAGAATGTGAGATGTCAGAGATGCCTTTTCCCTAATGTAATAGCAAGCCTTGAGCTTGGAAGTAAATATGAGTCCTTGGTTTCTGGTGGGAAGGAGAAAAGGAACTGAGTAGAACTTGAGAACAGATGACAAGGTCACTATAGTAATAACAACAACAATACTAATAACAGAATTACCTATAAGAACATGGTAGTATTATTAAACTTGCCATTTAGCAAACAAAACATGTTAACTGAAGCATTTGTGTCATATTTCTCTCCTGTAAGTTCACCCCTATGGCCTCTTCCACTGTAAATAAAAAGTTATAGTTATCTATTACAACATCCTGGAAACATTAGGCCAGGAACTCAAGAACAGTGCTCACCCGGCTTTGCACACCCAAGGCTCCTTCTGCACGGACCTGCTGCTAACTACTTCTCAGTGTGAACCTACTGAATTAAACCAGAGAAGAAACAGCCCAAAACCAAAAAGGAAAGAGCCCGTCTGAAGGCCTGTCACCTGGATGAAGGTGAAGTGAGAAGCTGACAAAAAAGCATTACACACTATTTTTGGACAAATGTTCAGATTAGGTCATGAAGTAGAACGAAAGTAGATAGCATATTTGTTTAGGAAAGATTAACTTAAATCAGTGGAAAAACCTATAAATCCTTTTAAGCTATAAACCAAGAGCATCCAATTACATGAACTGGTGGTAGTCCGCCTGGGCCCAGCTGCTTTCTGCAGCCTCAGAACAAATACCACCCCTCTCATTTGGCATTCGATTTTAAGACTGGCAGAAGGGGTAGTGAACCAAAGGCAAATTTTATTTATTTAAATTTGAAGCAAATCTTTGCCTATTCTCGATTTTGTTTTACTGTTCTGCTTTTTAGTTAAAGTATATGATTTCAAGTTCAGAGCACATCTAAAATATTCAATATGACATTAAGTTTATTATAAAGTTAAAAACTTACCGGAGAAGGAATGAAGGCTTCATGAAACTTCTTTGGATTAATTCTCAATACACCCTTTAAAACAAAACAAAACAAAACCGTGAAAAATCTAACTCGCTGGATAGTTAGGCTTTTCCTCTGTATGCTGTTCTCTGATAAAAAAAAAATCTTAAACAATCTGATTCAGAAAACAAGTTAGATATATGAGAACGATGGGTTAAATGCATGAACACTGATTGGGGCTGGTGTGTTAAACACCGGCTTCAAACAATGAAAGCTCAGACTGACACCCTGCTGTGATGGGCAAAGCTTAAGACAGAACAGCACTTGGCAGACCAGGAAATGACAACTACTGTCTTCACATTAAACCTTGACTTGAATAAGGCTATCTGGAGACTAGGCCTCACATTGGCTGTCCTTTTGCTCTCATAGTTCCATGACCTTTGCACAATGGCACGTTTCTGCGGCAATTTTTCAAATTGGCTTCTAACTGGATACTTGGCCTCAAGGAACTGGATGCACATGTTTTACTATGGTCCCTCTGCAGAGCCGAATGAGTTAATAATTCAAAACGGCTCATAACCAGCTCTTAGTGCGAACGGCAATGCTAGCTCCACAGCTAGGCCGCCCAGTCCGCCTTCAACTTCAGATGACTCCAGCACCAAGTCAAGGTCTACTTCTGTTTATGTACAGGGGTGCAGCTGGGGGCAGTCCTCAACAGCAGCTCAGTGCTGTGGGTCTTTTCAGGAAACCATAACCTCCCTAGATTCCAGCTGCACTCACAGGCAGGCCACTGGGACACGTGGAAGGAAGAAGCTGTTTTCCTAACAACACGACTCAAAGGATAACTTGAGAAAGTGTTTAAATAACATTTCCCACTAAAATGAATGACTCAAGGGCACATAATTCACAAGATAGGTGAAGGCATAAAAGCAAATGGAAAATAATTTATTTCTTTCACTGGTGTTTAAATTACAAATTTCCATGCCATGGTACACATCTTAACACACCAGTTAGAATATCACAAATGATCACTCAGTCCTTAACAATTTGTCAAATAGTGATTATGGTCAAAACCCGAAACAGACCACATAGGGTGCTGAATAATAAAGCTTGGTCCCTTGAGAAAGAAAATGTGTGGAATGCTCTGAAGTTACAGCTACAACATACTTTCAGCCAGAACACCCTGAAAGGCTCAGGAGATGTATACAGTCCTAACAGAAAAGCCAAAGGAACAGGTAAGCCAGAGGGAAGGACACCAGAGGTGCAGTGTTAGCAGGAGCAGGCAAGGGGTCCAGCAGTCCCTCTTCCCCATCCTGCACAACTCTGCTTACGGATACAGAAGGAGAGCCAGGAGGTATGGCTGACAAGCTGAAGCAAATTCACTTCTAAAGCAATTGTTTCTTCCTGAAGTTCCCTTCAGGAAGAAAATTTAACAATTTTTTCTAAATACTCATACACTCAACAAATATTTTCTGACAACTACTTTGACAGGCACTATGTACCATGATGAGACTACAATAGGGAATAATGGACAGTCTGGGGGGGAAGCCTTCAGTGAACTGAAACAGGATTTTAAGCATTTCATTTTCCGACTTCAGACGCCCTTTTCTAACCTTTTTTTTTTTTTAATTCCTATTCTTTTATCATCTCCCTCTCAGTTCAGTGAAGGGTTAGCCTCTTACTTTGAGTGTGCCTTTAATTGCAGAACACTGAGAGAAGCCAAGGCTGGGCTCAGGGGGAAAGACACACATTATTCAGATCTGCATTTAGGCTCCACTTAAAAGAAAATATATTAAAAGTACCAGAAAGCTCTTGATTCTTGATTCTCTATCCCAAACCTCACAACAGATTAAAGCATAGAGCTTCAGATCTGCATTTGGAAATCTGACTTAAGAACTGGATGTCAGGAACAGACTCCAGAGAGAACAGATCACACGTAGAAACAGGCACCTCCAACCAGGTCCTCAGCAGACCAGAGTTGTTCCTATAGCCTGAAAGAAGGTAAGAGTAAAGCCTGTCAAGAAATAGTCTTCCAGTTCAAAGAATCATCCAGCAGAGGAAGTTTCACCCAAAGGAGGCCGAGGCCTGTATTTCTGTCTTTACAGAACTCACCCAATTCCCTATCTTTCCCTTTGTTCAAACTTTTCCAAGTCTGGAGCTTGACCAGTGATCAAGAAGATCATGTACTTCCCACCCTGTTCCGAATGCTCCTACAACTTCTTACCTGTTCAGAACCTGGCTCAGCTCTAATGTCATTGGTTCCTTTAGGTGCTGTCAAAGAGAATGTCTCAAGGATGGTGAAGACTGTTTTCCCATAATGGATTTAAAATTAGTTTGTTCCTATATTCTTTCTCGAAAACCCTTTTGACGTTCACGCCATAGACTTGGTACAGCTTCTACCTTCCTGATCGTGGCACCAATTCACTAGTGTTTTGACGAAAGTGCCACTGCCTTCCCTCCTATCCCAATCCCTATAAACATTCAGAAGCCATATCAATAACCAAACCACTCAAGCCACCTTTGTCTCCACTCACCCCAGCGACCATTTCCACTACTGTACCCTGCTATCAAATTACTTCAAACACAACAAGTCCAGTATCATCACCCTTTCCAGTTGGAGTCTTCTATAATTCCATCTCACTTACCATGGGAATTCCAAATAAAAGGCCAATTTCATAAGACCTCCATGCCATAGCCCATAAATCGATCTCCAAAGAATTGACCAACCACTATCCTTCTACTATGGTTACTTACCTCCTTGACTAGTAGTCTTTACTTGCCATTATCCCTTAGCTTCACAAAACCTTGGGCCTTGGGTCCCCATTTCCTCTTATACACAATCAAAAAAAGCCTATCTCTCAAGTGACCCCAACTATTTGTCTTCACCTTGCCTATACCCAAGGACCAGAATGCCACTGAAGAAAATTAACACACAAATGGTCTGATTAGTCTACCTTGGCAATCACAAATACATTTTAGCTGGCTTATAGTATTCCTGAAACACTTAAAACTAAGGAATTTCACACATAAAAATGTTTCCAGATTTTCTTGAAAAATAATCCTAAGACATACAACTGCAGATAGCTGTCTCCACTGGACAGCAACCACCTCAGCTGAATTACAGATGTTCCTCTGACAGTAATTAAAAACAATCTCAAATACTACTTATATGGGTAGAATATGGGCCATGAACTTTTAAGAGCTAATGAATTAATTTAAATTAAATTAGCTATGACCTAATTTAACTCCCACAACTATGATACAAATACTACTTTCTTCATTTGTTACAGATGAGGTGACTGAGCACTGAGCAGGTAAGTCTGGAGAGTCTGGTTCCAGAATCCAGGCTCCCAACTGCCTCTTGGCTACAGTCATCACCAGAGCCTCCTCACACATTTACACATCCCCCAAACCAGCACATTTCCAATTTGTCTTCCTTAGCTTGACTAACAACAGCAAGATCAGGCCTTCACCTGATGCACTCAGGTGCTTAGAAATCATCCTGGATTTCTCCCTCTGCCTCCCTATCCACATCTAATCCTCAGCATGTTGTGTCAGCTCTAGTCCACAGCCATCCACTTCTCTCCTCCTGGTCACCACCCTGTTCTCTCTCTCTTCATGTCTCCATATTTCTTAGCTAGTGGACTTCAAGGCCTTCTAAGTGAACTTCCAGCTTCCATTCAAGTCTACTCACCTCACAATAGCCAGAGACAGTTTTAACACATGAAACAGGCTGCGTTCTCCTACTTACTACCCTTTGGTGACTTCCCACTGTCCTCGGAATGAAATCCAAGTTCCTAACACAGTCTCGAACCCTAAATGACCTCGCTGCTGCCTAACTCACCCTTTGTGCCTTATGTCTCAAAAACATCAAGTCTTCGGCCTGCTGTCCTTCCGCTCACTGATCTCTCTATCTATATAATCTTTCTTGAAGGCTGAAAATGGCTGTCTCGTTCTTGCCCTTCAGGGCTCACCTACAGGATAATCTCACAGAAGTCTTCCATAACCACACTATGTACAGTGGCTTCTATCTATTCTCTCTCATCTTTCACTCTGAACAATGATCCAGCCTATAATTTCTGTCATTAATGTAGTTATTTTTGCCTACCTCCCCAGTGACTTTTCTAGTGCTCATTCCTGAATGCTTGACATTACCTAGGCTGTTAAGAAATGGTTCTTAAGTTCATCAATTTAGCTAATGTCTGCAGAGTTGAAGTTCTCCCTTTGTCCCTGGGATCCTAACTCTGAATGCCGCCTCTCTTCTTAAGCATTCCTTCCATCCTGTCACCTCTACTGCTCCCAACTTTAATACACACTCAAGCAGACCTCAATCTTTTCCCCTTTGTGTACGTGGGTGTTTTGACTGCATTTCAGTGCACCATGTGCATGCTGTGCCTTCAAAAGCCAAAAGAGGGCAGATCCTCTGAGTCTGGAATTACAGACTGTTGGAAGCCACTCTATGGGTGCTGGGATTGAACCTGGGTCCTCTGGAAGAGCAGCCAGTGCTCCTAACCACTGAGCCAACTCTCTAGCCCTTGACCTCAATCTTAACAAGGAGTGAAATTCCTAGAAATGAGACCGCCATGTCCTCTGTCTTCCTAGAATAGGGCTTTTCAGTAGTCCAACACAACATCTCACCAATATTCTATTCCAGAAAGAATCCTGACATCATGCCTCCAGTAGCTCTGGGGGCTAATTCTGGACTTCCACTAGTCAATGCATCATCTGGATTCTAAAAGACCCATTCTACCATCTCCCTGCCCGAGTCACTTTGGTTATCCCTTACTCTAGACCTCCTTCCAGGCATGGCCACCATGCTCTCATCTCTCACAGCATCTCCCATAACAACCAACCAATACTGTACCTAAGCACAGAGTAATAACACACTGACATGAGGACTGTTTATTAAGAAAACTACATGAACAGAATCATGTTTTATTGCAATTCATTTCCAAATACAGAAAAGAGGTTTCTTTGGTCACTGTGGTCTCCTCTTTCCTATAAAACAATGAGATCTCAAATTTTTGTCATGGCATTAACTAATACCTGTACCAATTTTTAAGTTCCCTACTATCAATAAAAGAATTTTCTTTTAATGGGGAAAAAGGAGGTCCTGATATATTTACATCTGAATACAAAAGTTGACAGATATTTCTAAGTATATCTGATAATGCTTAATTTTCTCCAATGGCATTAAAATATCACTTCTTGTCTAGCTTTTTACCTTACCCAGACAACTATACAGAAAGTTTGTATCCAAAAGCAGATGTACTCTGTTTCTCTGCCTATGAAAATCTTATTTACAATGTTGTATATTTCTCATGGTGACCTCATATCTGGAACCCATTCCTCATCCCATCTGCAGAGAACAACTGTTCTCATATGTGGGGGGTGGAGGGGGAGAAGGCCTCTGGCTATGGAGGCTTATGATGTCATAGGCCAGGAGGAATCACTTACAAACTCCTGGGAATATGAGCTGTTATATTGATCAGATCTTTTGTTTTGTGTTAATGCCAGCAAAAAGTCACTTCAAATGCAAAAATTAAAAGGAAGCAAAAACTAATACTATTACAGAACACTGTTTTAACCGTATCTCATAAAGGTGTACATCTATAATCAAAATCCTAAGCTATTTATCTTTCAAGTTCTAACAACTGAAGTTCTCTTCACTATTCTTCAAAAGGTAGTCTCTTGATCTTTATTCAGCCAGTAAAATATATACATACATACATATATATTTTTTTTCAAAGTAAGTTTATTAAGCTTCAGCCAAGTCCTATGCACTAGGCTAACCTGTAGAATATGCATGACCATACCACTAAGGAAAAGAACAGGCTATTTGGGGAAACATAAAAGCCAAACAAAGGTAATAGTTTCAACATGTAGACAACAAAACTGACTTCATGAAGGCTGTAACCAACTCAGCTTAGAGAAATGAGGGGGACATTTAAGCACAGACTGACCATGGACTGGCAGGGCAAGCATGATCACCACACTTAGTGGGAGGAAGAAACCAGAACAGCGAGGGCAAAGTCTAGGTGGAGTCCTACATTCAATTTCACTTTTGTTTGTTTGGTTGTTGTTGCCGGTGGTGGTGGTGGTGGTGGTGGTTTAGATTTTGTTTTGTGAAACAGGATCTCACTATGGAACTTGCTATATAGATCAGGCTAACCTCAAACTCACAAAAATCTGCCTGCTTCTGCTTCCCAAGTCCTGAAGCATCAGAAGCTACTACACCAAGCAAGCACAGGTTTTAGAGGGAAATCTACAAGTCCAAGATAATGAGAATGTAGCACATCCATGGAAGGGGTGACAGGAGCCAGCAATGAGAAAGACACACCAAGACCTCACATAGGAACAAGGAGAGTCAGGACACTTGCAGGGAAAGTGAAGTATATGGATGCCAAACCATGAAAAGCAAGCAAATACATTAATGAAGGAACAAGTATCTAAATGTGGTTTCTCCTCTCCTAAGAGAGACTTTTCAAAGACCTCCAGAAGAAAAAAGCCAATGGTATTCCTAAATCAAAAAGTCCAATTGATTTGTGAAAAACTAGTAATGTCTACATCAATTATATGTGCTATGGACCACAGGTAATTATGGAAAGGAGATAAATCCAGAGAAACTGATATCTATTGTTTGAATGAATCTTCAGCCCAAAACACAATTGAATTTGAGCTTTCAGAATGAGAAAATATGGGACTCAGTCAACATTTTTGTGTCTTCCTTGTGTATGTGTGTGCAGGCCAGCAGTCAACATTGAGTGTCTTCCTTGATAACTCTCCACCTGGCTTTTCAAGAACAGTCTTTGAATAAACTTGAAGCTGGCAGGTAGCCAGCAAGTCCCAGGTACACACCACTCCTCCCAGCTTTCATAGGAGTGCTAGGGATCCAACTCAGGTCCTCATGTTTGTGAGGTAAGCATCTCCCCAGACCTCACTCAATAATTTTAAGAGAGTCAGGTACCACATGACAGTATTCCTATCCAAGAATTATAAAACAGGCTTAATTCAAAGAAGGCATGCTTTGGCCTGGCTTCCTTTTCCAGTCTTGTTACCTACTGGCTGCCTTGGATGTTGTGCCCAAGGAAACCTAAGCTGCCTTGTCCCACAGTTTCACAAGCTTCCCTGTAGCACTCTCCTAACAGGAAGTGTTCCTGGCTCAAAGATGGATGTTCAATGAACATCTGCTCAGCCATACCAATGAACAGCCTGTGGACAGATTAGGCAAACTACAAAGCATTCAATAAACACTGTTTACCGTTTCCTCTACAAGTTTACCCATTTTTCTCAGTCATTCAGTACTCATGTGCTTCAGGCACACGAACAATTCAATGTTTGGTTTAGTCCAACCCCACTTCCCACTTCTGTCTCAGCAGCTCACACTGGTTATTTCATTTGGAAAGCTCACTTTCTTATATTTATTTGCTCAACTGCACCAATCCCCAAGCATGGCTCACATAGCTCTCTCCCAATAAAATTCCTAGGCAATACTGACATTAGCTACAAAGGCTCTCTCTTCTCACATCTCAGGTTTGCCTACAAGAATCTCGTGGTACTTACCGCTCGACACATACTGCAGGTTTAAGAAGCAAAAACCCTGCACCATGTGAAAGTACCCAGCATAGAACAGGGAAAAGTTTAATATACAAGACTGCTGCCATCCCGTATTTTCAGGGGATAAACAGCCTGTAGGTTTAAGCACCTGGATAAGTGTTCCCCTCTTCAAGCCTTCCGAAACATCCTCCTTGGACATGTAGGTTTCAAATATGCTCTTTTTCTTCCCTCGCATGGACTTGTTCTTTGACTTTTTGTCACCTGGTGAAGCACCAACACCATGCAGGCCAGCCACAGAGGACATACCTGGAAACATGAGGCACCAATCAGCCCTGTGCTCAGTTAACCAGCTCCCCATTTCTTTTAACTGAAGCTTTATGCCTTCGCTACTCTTGTTGTTGCTCCTGTTATCTATAAAGGCCAGCAAGAGAATGAACCTTTCCAGTGATGATTTCAAACAGTCACAAAAAGGAAAGAATGGGTAAGACCGCAGAAATAAAACGGACTTTATTAAATAAATAAAGAAGACCTTAGTTCTAACTGAGCACTGCTCTGTGCATGAACAAAATCTGAACAATGGGTCTGGTGTGCTTTACTATGTCTAGATACAACCCCTTTAAAAAAAGGAAATGTTGAAAGACTATCCCATTTCTGGAGGAAACGAAATGACTGTACAACAATCAACTGAAACAAGACCATCTAATTCTAGGATAAATAACACCAGAGAATATTTAACAGTTCATTAAAAGAATCAGTCTTCCTCAATACAAAGAATTCCCTCCATCTCCACACCCAGTCCATTTATATTTCAAGTCTCCAGTTGCCAAGGCAAGCTCCATTCTCTTGTCAATACCTCTGGGGGTCCCCTGAGGCCGAAGGTTCAGCTTGTAGTCAGGATGGTTCATTACTGGTTCCAAGGTAGCCTCTTCTCTCCAGATCCAGGAACCCACTACTATTCAGCTCAGAGTTCTTCCTGCCTTGAGCAGCTCAGTTGTCACGAGCTAAAATAAAAAAGAAACTATGACTAGAGAGCAGTTACCTGTGTTTTCCTTTGTCCCCTTGGAAATTTAGCACTTAGATGGCAACGGCAATATGCTGTTCTCCTGGGGCCTGGTGTCACACTCTTCTGGGTAGTTATACCACCTGTGCTGCATATTTATCCAAGGTCTTCACCCCCAAAGGTACACTACAATGCTCCTTTGGAGCACTTCAACTAAAAAGTTTCCATTAATGGGGCAATGAAGTAGAAAATAAGAAATTAGGCAACTATATAGCTTGTGAAATGAACAAAAAACAGGAAATAAGGTTTTAAAAGATGATTTTAAAAAAGATCTGGAATCTAAAAGCTGTAATGAAATAGGTACCAGATGAAAGCTTAAGAATATGTGACCCTGTTGCTGAGCCCTGGCCACCACTTGGACAATGAACACACCACCACAACTACTTTTTCATCTCTACGGCTGGTCACCAGTCCTGGAGTTAAATCTATACTTGCAAACTACCAAATCCTGCTAAGCAGCCACTTCTCCACAAAATAGATCAAGATGTCATTTTGAACCATATCTTCTATTCCTCAAATTTCCCCAGACAATCCTTACCAAATGGTCAAAGTTTTCTTTAAACTAAAACTGTTATTAACTCAGAGAAGAGACAAAACAAAGATAAAGGTAACAGTCCACTTCAGGCCACATGAACTGATTGGAAGATAAAGTTAATCCAAATACAAGGAAGAAAACAAAAGAGATATCCTCACAGTAACAAAAGGGGGATAGGAAAAGAACAGAGAGGATCTAGGTTATCTGAGGGTTCTTAAAGAAATGTACTCATTCCCTCATTAATTTAACAAACACGTGCAATGCACAATAGTTAGCAAAATGAAAGATAACTGGTCACTAGGGTTAAAAAGTCATATGGGTATGCCGGGCGGTGGTGGCGCACACCTTTAATCCCAGCACTCGGGAGGCAGAGCCAGGCGGATCTCTGTGAGTTCGAGGCCAGCCTGGGCTACCAAGTGAGCTCCAGGAAAGGCGCAAAGCTACGCAGAGAAACCCTGTCTCGAAAAACCAAAAAAAAAAGTCATATGGGCATAGCAATATACATCAGGAAGTGATAGCATCATGAGAACCTTGGGAAAGTTTTTAAGGAAGAGCTAAGACATTAAGATGTGAGGAAAGCATACTTCTGGCATAAGGAAACAAAAACCAGCATGCAAACAGAAAAACACAGGCAGATTCTTGCAACATTAATTCTATTTGGCTAGAGTCCTGTCTATATGGAGGAAGGCAATGGCAAGGAAATTAAAACAAGTTGGAAGGTCTAGAAAACAAGCTGAGATTTTCAAAGGCACTAGGGAGTTTCTGAAGCTTGAATGAGCAAAAGAGAACAATAGAGCATGCTGTTTTAGGAAAAGCCATGTTGGCACAGAAAGGCCGAACTCAATGGAATAGAGACAAGCACCTGCACTTTGTGGAGAAACGTAGGCAGGACAACAGGAACGGCTAGGACAGGAGTGATAAAAGTGGACACTGACAACAGAGGCCTCTGACATGGTCCTCCATAGCTCTGGCTGACTCACCTGGCAACCAGGAGGACCTGAAGCACAGCCAGCATGGAAATTGAGTAGGTTCCTAGTGATGAGGCTCAGCATTAGGGCTGCCCTAGTGTTAGAAAATATGGTAACTTCTATTTGGGGTACTACATGTGCATGTGGAATAATCCAACAAATACTAGAAAAGTGGAACATAATCTATAGGGAGACATTACCCAGCTATTACCTAAAGATGAGAATGGATAACAAGGGTCCACTGCAGCAGAGAAGGCAGTAAAATGAAGGATAATCAAGTAACCTTTACATTCCCATGAAGCAGAGACAGAGGCCCTGTGGCCCTGGGCAGGGACTGAGCACTCCTGATAAATCAGTTAGAGCTGCATTACAAATGCAAAGAAGTAGAAAATATAACAATAACAACAACAAAAACAAACAACAATAAAAATATAAAAATAAAGACATAGAGCCAGGTGGCAGTGGCACACACCTTTAATCCCAGCACTCAGGAGGCAGAGGCAGGCGGATCTCTGGGAGTTCCAGACCAGCCTGGTCTACAGAGTGAGTTCCAGGACAGGCACCAAAACTACACAGAGAAACCCTGTCTCGAAAAACCAAAAAATATAAATAAATAAATAAATACATACATACATACATACATAGAAAAGCGCTAACAAAGTCAGTTAATAAGAAAACAAGAAAAAGGTTTCCAAAGAAGAATTCGTGATCAGAATGTGTTCCCATAGTAAGTCTGAGCACAACAGCAGCATCAAACAACAAGAGCCAGAACTAAGAATGGGCTCTGTAGTGATCTGAATAAGAATGGCCCATGTATTTGAATGCCTTGTTACCAGGGTGTGGAACTCTTTGATAGGATTACAGGATTAACAGGTGTGGCTTATTGGAGAAAGTGTGTCACTGGGGGTGGGCTTTGAAGTTCCAGAAACCCACACCAGGCCCAGTTCTCTCTCTCTTTGCCTACTGATCAGCAACAGCTTCAGCATATGCCTGCCCACCGCCATGCTACCTGCCATGATGACAATGGACTAAAGCTCTGAAACGGTAAACAAGTCCCTCATTTAAATGCTTTCTATTACACGAGTTGCCGGGGTCATGGTATCTCTTCACAGCAACAGAACACTAAAACCAGCTCCTATATATCAATCCTGACACAGTGAGGAATTCAAAATTAAGCAGAGATACTAGCAGTTAAAGAAAGTGGGATACACAGGCCCAATTCGAATATCCCCAGATCAGCAGCATCTGTAGTCTCCTCACTATGGAAACCAGATTCCTGTCACTTCTACCTCAGAAGCACAAACATGTTTGGTTGGGTTCACCATTGCATCTCAGTGGCTCCCACAGTTCGTAGACTATGGGCCTGAGAAGTCACATTTCTTAAATAAACAGATGAGTGTTTCCATGAACATCAGTAACAACAGCAAGGGAAACAGGATCACTCAGAGAAACCACGTTTTTAAAAAGTCTGCGGAGAGCAGAAGAGACACAGGATTCAGGCAACAAAAGTAAAAGATAACTAACCAGAGAACTTTACCTTCCTTGTAGCATGTTGTGAAGGCTCGTGAACCCTGGAGAAACCCTCAACAGTCCCCTGACAGACTAAAGGAACATGACAATTTCTAGAATGAGAAGCAATGATAACAACGCCTAGAAAGGGGATCCCACCATGGACATGGCCAGTCTTTAAAGAGTTGGCTAGGGCTGGGATGAACCAGCAGTACCAACATGGTACCTACCTAAAGGCGGGCATGACAAGGAATGGAAAGAAGACACTACACTTGAGAAAGTCAATCTGGAGACAGCTCATGAGCACATGAAGTGGTATCTTGAGACCCTCTGGCCTCTAAAGCTGGCACAACACACAAAGCACAGCCTATTAGAACAGAAGACAAATTACAACAACACATACTGGTAGGAAATAGGGGAAGTAGGAAGGAGCCAAGGCAAACCAGGTACCTACAGCCAAAACTTGAAAAAGCAAGGTCCCACAAAGTACCAGTGACACACTTGAGGAGCTGAGACAGCCTGAGTTTTTGTCCTTTCTCCCTCGTGTTAGCCTCCTCTCACCTCTCAGGAGCAGAAGGACAGATGGATTCGTGAAGCTGCGCAATGAAGGGAAGAAAGGAGTCAAGTCAAAAGGTACTCTCTTAATTGATGACAGGCTAAACTCTGCAGAGCTGAGGAGTTGACAACAAGCAAGACCTGGGAAAAGTAAAAGAGGGCAAAACTAGTGCAATAATGAAGTTGGGGAAGGAGAGAGCAAAAACAAAAAACAATTCTATGACTAATCTCTGACAAACACATAGGTTAACCAACAAGCAGCAGTAAGCTACTTAACATCATCTTAAGAAAGCCAATGGCCTCCTATTTCATAGCACATGCTGAAAAATTCAGTTTGAATCAAGTATGTTTAAAATGAGAAAGACAAAGATGAGAGAGGGAGAGAGAAACAATGAACCAAAATGGTGAAAGAAGGAATTTGGCAAATATTATCCCCCAGAACAAAAACAGTAAAACTGTACAAAACTACTGAAATAATGTAAAGATCTAAATACTGACTAAAAACACACATCGAACTGGAATGCTGGTTCCTTGTAAGAACAGCACAAGTGTGTGGTATGCGGTGCTGCAAATGGAGGCTCTTACCACCCACGGCTGCTCCAATCCCACTGAAGAAACACACTCTGACAGCTGCAGTTACACTGCTGAGGAAACTGCGTCCACATGGAGAAGAATGTAGTCAATTCCATACATGGGGGGGGGGGGCAATAAACAACAGTGACTTCAGGGTCAAGAATTCAGATGAGGCCAACAGCAAAATTAACTCAAGTTTGCAACACCAGAAGTTTAACATGGGACAACAAAGGGATGACACAGGCAATCAGAACTTCTCAGGGGCTGAGATGAAGCATCCACAAGTCCCTAAGTCTGGTCTATAGAGGGTGGTGCACACCTGTAACACCAGCACTCAGGAAGATGAGTCAAAAGAATCAGAGTTTAAGGTAGGTTCTCCTCACACAAGTTCAAGTCAGCCTGACCCACATGAAACCATGTCTTTAAAAAAAAAAAAAAAAAACTAAAGAGAGAGCAGGTGCGAAGGCACATTCCTACAATCCAAGGACCAGGAGGCTAGAAGGCAATCTGGCACGGTGATGCGTGCCTGCAATCAACAGCAGTACTCAGGAGGCTGAGGCAGGAAAATTGCTGAGAAGTTGAGCCCAGCTAAGTCTACAGAAGTGAGACGTTGTTTTAGAAAACCAAAAAGGAATGAAGAGTAGGAGAAAGGGAACGGACAGATTAGGAGGGGAAGAAGAGAAAGAAGTGAAAAGAGAAGGAAAATGAGAGAGAGAAAGAAAATATCAACTTTCTCCTGCTGGTCTAGAAGTCTATGCATGCATAAAACCCTAAACATAACCACAAACATGAAGGAAAGGA